GAATAAGCTCCCCGTGTTTGCTTAAGCTACTGCTGCGGCTTTGTACTCACCTGCGCTGTAATTTAATGAACCCTCCTCGGCAGGGGGCCAGGGCCCGGGAGCGCCCGCAGAAAACGACTCCGATGGGTGCTGAGCTCCCCGGGGGCTCCTGACCCGACGTGAATCAGCCTGAACTTCGCAGGGCCGTTCAGAAAGTTACTGGAAATAGTCTCATTCCGTGTAAATGGGGTCCCCTGGAATAATCAAACAATTCAGGCCTGGACGCAGTTTTGTTAGTAATAAAACCAAATGAAGTGGAGCGGGAGGCGGGGACTCCACCTCCTCGTGGTTTTGTTCTAAAGAGAGAGCTTCGTCATCAGCTCCGTGGGGTGTTTATGACCAGGTTCACCCGTTCGGGGCCTTCATTTCAAAATTTGTCCAATTACGGAGAACTCATGCTTGGGTGAGCCTTTTCTTGTTTTTAAATAAAGGCTTTGTGTTTTTTCTCCTCCTCCTCGGCAGACTTAGGTTTATTTAAATGAAGGCTGCTTCCCCGAATATTCTGGTTGTTAGTGGACGCGGTGCTCACACAGAACTGCCCCTCACTCTGCACCCTCCCTCCAGTTTATCCCCAACCTTCCAAGGGGCAAAGCCCTGTGGGCAGCTGTTGGGGAGCCCCCAGACTTGCTTTGTTAATGGCTAGATTTTTTTTTTTTTAATTCTCAGAATTACCTTCCTGCCAACAAATGGTTCAACTGTGGGATTGGCTATAACTCTCTTTGTTTTAATTTTTTTAAATATATTTTTATTGATTTCAGAGAGGAAGGGAGAGGGAGGGAGAGAGAAAAAACATCAATGATGAGAGAAATCATTGGTCAGCTGCACGCCCTACACTAGGGATCAAACCCATAACCCAGGCATGTGCCCTGCACTGACTGGGAATCGAACCAAGATCTCGTGGCTCATAGGTCAAGGCTCAACCACTGAGCCATGCTGGTTGGGCTAGCTATAGCTCTTAAAATATGTCATAGATATGCATAATATTTTTTTTTAGTTGAGCAGGAAGTGTAGGGATCGGTCCAAAACCTCCTCCAAGGCCCAGGAGGGGCTGGTGCCTCCTGGAAAGGACACCCAGGGCTCCTTAGGGGCAGGACCCAGCGGTGCTGAGTGGCAACTTCATACCCACAGCCACACGTCACATTTCCACGTGCCTCCTGCTGCATCTGTGGAGTTGGCAATTTCTCTTTGATGTGAACGTTCATTTTCTATGGACGTTAGAGCGTCTGCTGCTTCGCAGATACAAACAGTGGGCCCAGCATGGGTGTGAGTGTGGGGCCCGTTCTCATGGGCAGCCCTGAGTGGAGGGGCTGCTTCCTTCTGTGTTTGTGTGTGTGTGTGTGTGTGTGTGTGTGGCGGCGGCAGGGAGATGGGGAGGGAGGGAGGAGGTGCTTGTTCCTGTCACAGGGACGTTGCCACCTCAAGGACCAAACGTTGGGAAAGCTCTGGTCCCCAGGGAGCAAAGTCTGACCGGTGCAGGCGGGCTGTGTGGATTGTAGCTGCTGCCTGGTTCCTGCAGCCTGGGGGCTCGTGGGGGGCTCCCAGGGACATATGCCCCCAGAGCAGGAAGTGACCCCCAGCTCTGTCTCATTGTGCCAGGAAAGTGCACGTCTGGATTAGGAAAAGGCCAGCAGGTTCCCTGTGGGTGCCCAGCCAGTGCAGGGGTGTGGGCTGCAGAAGGTCATTGTGGGGCTGGTGGGACATCGGGGGACCCCCACTCCTGAAGGAGGAGCCTGGAAGGGGCGCGCTGCCAGCACCTGTGGCTGCGAAGGAACGGCGCTTTAGCACCGGCTTGGGACCAGGACACAGTGATCTGAAGAATTCCAGAGCAGAGGCAGCCAGGCCTCTCCCCGACCTGCACTTAATGTTGGGACAAGTCAAACAGAATAGAGCTGTTTGCTGGAGTCTAATAACTAAACTAACTACTAAACGTCCTGCCCTATAGGTTTACAATTCCATTTCACACTCGCTTTGCTAATATCCTCCCTACTGACCATTTAACAATAATAACCGTAATCACAGTGACAGGATGGGGCTTCGCTCTTGGTCAGCCTGGCTGATGTCGGACTTTACCTCCAGTCGCTTGGACTTGTCGACACCTGTCGGCTGCGGGGACACTGATGTCCTGTTATTGAACTGGCAGATCCGGGGGGACGCCGGGGCGTGTTGGGCCGCCACGGAGGGGATGCGGGGTGGGAATGTGTAGATGTGTCTGTGAACAGGTGGGAGGGGTGCGCCAAGTTGCTCGTGGCTGTAAGGAAGCATCATTGACCAAGGCCGTCGTTAGACTCCCTTTGGGAGGAATACAGGTAGCATGTCGTCTCCCGGTGATTGAAGAGTAAGATTTCCTTTTGTGGGGCTTGCCTGCCCTGGCCTGGTCCCTCTGGACAGCGCCTAGGCCTGGCCTCTTGCTGTCCAGCTCAGGTGCTTTCTGTGGTGTTTGTCGTGGGGGGAAAGGAGCGGGGGGAAGGCCTCTGGGTCCCTGCCTGGCGCCTGCACACGGGATGCAGGGACATCCCCCTGAGAGGTCACCATGACCCTGGTGCCTAGGGAACCTGACCTCTGCCAGGAAGTGCATTTCCAGGGTTATTAGCTTCCTGTTGGCGTTTTACAAATATCATAACCAAGTTTTAACGTCTGATTTCAGTTTTTGTGTTGCAAGTGTCAGTGACTAGCCCTACCTGGTGTGACTCAGTGGGTTAGAGCATCGGCCTGTGCACCGAAGGGTCAAGGGTTCGATTCCCGGTCAAGGGCATGTACCTAAGTTGCAGATTTGATCCGTGCCCCGGTCAGGGCACGTGTGGGAGGCAACCAATCGATGTGTATCTCACATTGATGTTTCTCTCTCCCTCTCCTTCCCTCCCACTCTCCCTAAAATTCAATGGGGGGGAAAATCCTCCACTGAGGGTTAACAAACAAGCAAAACGTGGTGGTGAGCATGTGAGGGTGCTGGTGCGTGCCAGGGTCACTGTGCATGTTGGTGGCATGAGCGTGGTCACCCAGAACTGGCAGCAAAGCTGGGCGCTGGCACTGGAGTCGGGCCTTCCCTGGCCCTCTCACCCTGTGGACATGAGGCTGATCCCTTTTTCATGTGCCTGTCCCCAGTGTCCCACTGGTGCCTGGGAGCCCACGGGCACTGGATGGTGAGGACCAGCACGTCCAGGACATGGCACTGTGGATGTGTAGCTGCAGGGCCTGACAGGCACACCCTGAGCATGAGGCATCCCTGCTGCTCCAGCCTCTAACTTTCTCAGCCATGGCTTTGTTTTCTCTTCCTTGTCACGCCTCTGTGTCCCCGGGGGCTCTTTGGAGCCTGGCACTCGTGTTGAGCATCTGGAGCACTGTTGCTCTCTCTCCAAAGGGCCGCTAGCAACACAGGGTTGAAGTGGCTGTGGGTTCTCCCCCGGTTCCCTGGGGGGGGCGGGCCTGCAGTCTTGAGAACAGCCAGTGTTTTTCCCAGAGGGATTTAGCACCATCGAAGCAAGAGCCTCTGATGGCAAGGATTGCAAGACTGGATTATCGAGGGTGGTGGATGGCTGCTTTGGGAAACAAGTGGGCCCAGCCTGCTTAGTGTCTGCACCCATTCCTGTTAGCAAGGGCCATGGGGTGTGGGTCAGCACCCCGAGATCCAGCATGCTGGTGTCTGACACAGCACAGCCTTCAAATAAGGCGTCTTCGGTGGGTCATTGTGGCGGGAGCCAGGATAGAATTTCCTTGTGGGTGTTTCCATTATTTAGCGACCTGGATATCCGCTCTGCCGCACACAATAACACAGAACAAAGACGTCACAACAAGTCTTTTCAAACTGGAAATCCAGAGTGGCTTTTCTGATAAAAATTACTAATTACACTAGTAATGATTTTTTAAAATATCTTGAGGTTATAATTAGCATATAATGATTCTTAAATCCAGCTGTGTGCCAATATTATCTGCTTTGTTTTTATTAAAGGAGGGATTTTTTTCTAGGTCATGAGCCACCATCACAGCTTATATGAGAGAAACCCCAGAATCTGCTTCCATCCAACTCTTGGGGTGTTTTCTTTGTAGCTGGTGATTAGAGCAGCTCCATGGGGACTAGTTTATTAAAACCTTTTTACATGCACAGGTCCCTCTATCTAAACCCACCTACTCAGTCCACCCACCCATCCATCATTTATCCATCCACCCACCCACCTCTCCATTCATCCACCTACTCACCCATTCATCTACCTATCCATCCACCTATCCATCTATCCATACATCTATTCATCCATCCATCCATCCATCTGTTCATCCTTTCATTCACCCTCCCATCTATTCCTTCACCCATTCATCTATCCATCCATCCACTTATCTATCCCCATGTTCACTACATCAGTTCATCAGTTCATCTAACCATCCACCCACTCACCCACCTACCCATCTGTTATTCAACTATCCACCCACCCATCCATCTGTCAAATGAATGGAGCACCTTTTATGTGCCAGGCTCTGGAGACAGTGAACCACAGTAGATGGAGGCAGGCAAAGGCTCCTGCCTTCAGGGAACTTAGTGTTCTACTGGTGAAAGAGATGAGGCACAAGATGATGATGAGTACTAAGGAGAGGAAACGGACTGGGGAAGGGCTCATTCAGAATTCTGACAGAGCTGTTGGAGAGGCAACTTCTGAACAAAGAGTAGGAAAAAGCAGGGGGGCCATTGGTGCTGCTCTGGGGGGAAGGATGCTGGGCCGTGCGCAGCCGAGTGAGGGGCTGTGTGCTGAGGTGGAGGCGGGGGAGCCTGGAAGGGTCCCAGGAACATCATTGCCTGGACAGGTTCCCCCGGGGAGGCCATCGGAGCAGTGTGAGGGCCGCCCTGCTGGGGGTGAGGCCTGGAGCTGTGCGGAGACGCGGGACCGGATTCCGAGGCTCACGGGGCTGTGGGTTTGCATGTGTGATGACTGGCCCCCCTCACGTCATCTTTCCCTTTTCCCTTTTCCTTCCAGAGCATTACAGCTATGTGTCCTCCAACATCAGCCCAGGCCTGTCCCTGCCCACGGCGCACCCCTCGCTGCCGGTGCAGTGCCACGACATGCAGATGTCGGCCCCCGGCCTCTCCGCCATGGCGGCCGCCGGCCACCCCTCGGGGTACGGAGCTGCCGTGGACGGCGGGCCCTCGGGCTACTTCCTGTCTTCCGGCCACGTCAGGCCCAACGGAGCCCCGGCCCTGGAGAGCCCCCGCATTGAGATCACGTCCTACCTGGGGCTGCACCACAACAACAACCAGTTCTTCCACGACGTGGAGGTGGAGGACGTGCTTCCCAGCTCCAAACGGCCCCCGTCCACCGCCACCCTGAGCCTGCCCAACCTGGAGGCCTACCGGGACCCCTCCTGCCTGAGCCCGGCCAGCAGCCTGTCCTCCCGCAGCTGCAACTCCGAGGCCTCGTCCTACGAGTCCAACTACTCGTACCCGTACGCGTCCCCGCAGACGTCCCCGTGGCAGTCCCCCTGCGTGTCCCCCAAGACCACCGACCCCGAGGAGGGCTTTCCCCGGGGCCTGGGGGCCTGCAGCCTGCTGGGCTCCCCGAGGCACTCGCCTTCCACCTCGCCCCGCACGAGCGTCACCGAGGAGAGCTGGCTGGGGGCGCGCACCTCCCGGCCCTCGTCCCCGAGCAACAAGAGGAAGTACGGCCTCAACGGCCGGCAGCTGTCCTGCTCCCCGCACCACTCCCCAACGCCGTCCCCGCACAGCTCGCCGCGGGTCAGCGTCACGGACGACACGTGGCTGGGCAACACCACGCAGTACACCAGCTCGGCCATCGTGGCCGCCATCAACGCCCTGAGCACCGACAGCAGCCTGGACCTGGGCGACGGCGTCCCCATCAAGGCCCGCAAGACGGCCCTGGACCACTCGCCCTCGGTGGCGCTCAAGGTGGAACCGGCGGGCGAGGACCTGGGCACCACGCCGCCCGCGTCGGACTTCCCGCCCGAGGAGTTCCCCCCGTTCCAGCACATCCGGAAGGGCGCCTTCTGCGACCAGTACCTGTCAGTGCCGCAGCACCCGTACCCGTGGGCCCGGCCCCGGTCCCCCACGTCCTACGCCAGGTGAGCGGGCGGGGCGGGCCCAGGGCTGGAGGTCTGCGTGCAGGTGCCGCGGGGGCCCCCCCCACCGGCTCCTACCACCTCCGGACCAGAACCACCTCCCAGCACCGGGGTTGGCGGCCACTTGGGGAGTCTGGTCTCTAGCAGAAGTGTCTCAGTATCCAAATTGACCTTTTTATAAGAACACAGTCACAGTGGCTGCAGCCTGGCCTCCAGACGCCACTCACCCACTGATGGGCCCACCTGCAGATACCCATAGGGAGCGGGGTTAGGGCTCCTGCACACCGAGTCTGGGGCACACAGAGGTTGCAAAGGGAAGCGCTCTCGGCATTTGTTTTTCGAAACCAAAGATCCCCGTCCTGTTTGTTTTCGCCGCCTCCTCACCCGCTTCCCGTCTCCACCTCATTGCTGTCAGCGCCGGGTGCAGATGGGCACTCCCAAGTGAGCAAGCTCGCGGCAGCCGCTCCCTGCCGTGCCCACGTGCCCACGCTGTTTGGAGAACAACACAGCCGCCTCCTCCCCAGAGAGGCACGGTCCCCGCGGGCTGGTGACAGGGAGCTCAAGCATGTTCCCAGCCTCACGTCTTGGGCTGTTGATTCTTCTCTTTAACGGCGCATGGGGCTCAGCTGGGGCCGCTCACTCGGCCCAGCGTCTTTATTTTTAACCGAACAGCTTTCGCAACAGGTGGGCTGCTCACGACCCCTGGTGCCCGGCCCGTGCAGCCCCCGCCGCACTGTGGCAGGGCGTGACGCGCCCGCCCCGGCCTCCCCGTGCGTGGCCCCGTTGGACAGGGGCGGCGGCCGCCTCAGGAAGAGGCCCCTGTGACCTCCAGGAAGAGGCCCCGCGTGTGGTTTTGGGGGAGCGGGGAGGGGTGAGCTCAGTGTTTGGCTGGAGGGATTCTGGAAGCAAGATGGACGCAGGGCCTGGCTTCCCGCAGGGCGCCCCGGGCGGGCGCGGAGGGTGAGCAGGGGGGCCGGGTGCTGCGGGGCCCTCCAGAGGAGACCTGACAGGTTGTCCAGCAGCCGGTGCTGACGGTTAGGAGTCAGGATTCAGAGAGAAAGCAAACCCGAGCACTGACTTTCCTGGACGTGCATGAGGGTGTGTCCCCACTTTTATCTCCACGTCTGCTTCCAAAAAATTGATAAAGTTTAAAAGGCTGGTATTTTCTTTCTTTTCTTAAGAAAAAAAAATTTTTATTGATTTTTTACAGAGAGGAAGGGAGAGGGGTAGAGAGTTAGAAAGATGGATGAGAGAGAAACCTCCACCAGCTGTCTCCTGCACACCCACTACTGGGGATGTGCCCGCAACCAAGGTCCATGCCCCTGGCCGGAATCAAACCTTCCAGCCTGCAGGCCGCCGCTCTACCCAATGAGCCAAAGCGGTCAGGGCAAAAGGCTGGTATTTTCAAAGGTGTCATCGAACAAACGTATCTCAGAACCTGGGATTGATGAACGCACATGGGAACTTAAAACCCATTTGGAGGCGTATTTATAAATTGAAGGCTGGTTAATGCCTGATGCGCTACTTCATGACATTTATGTAAAGAAGGAGGAGAATATTCAGAAGCTCACCGCCTCCCGGCCGGAGCCACCCGCGTGTCACAGTGTATGACCTTCTGCGTGTTCCTGGACCACGAAGGTCATAGGCAGTGCCACGGGGCTTCGCTCCAATCCGGACATCGGAGGCGGAGCGCCGTCGGCAACGGATCATGGTAACCGTGAGCAGGAAGCTGACCATAGCCAGGGGGCGTTAAGAAGTTGTAAGAACTCAGGGAAACCCTGCGTGCTAGTTGGTCAGGGGGGCTGGGACCAAATACCAGACTGGCTCCCTGGAGACCTCCCTCCTTTGTCCTTCTTCTCTGTCTGTCTCTGTGTCCGAGTTCCTCCCACCGAGGAGGACATAGACAGCGTGGGTCAGGGCCCGCCCAAGGACCTCGCTTTGTAACTTGATCCCCTGTAAGGACCCCGTCCACACCGAGGTCCCAGGGCTCAGACTCCACGGCCTGTGAATTTGGGGTGAGGCGGCCTCTCCCTCCCAGGTGCCTTGGTGTGTTCCCGGCGGGTGGCCGTCGGCATGACCAGCCCGTGTTTATTAAATTCGCGGTCGGAAAGCAGGTGCCCTTCGTCCCTGTCGTGCCTTGGCCGCCCGACGGCTCTTTATCTGCTGGTTGCAGAGCCGAGTCCGGTGTGCGGCCCCTACATGCCTGTGCGCTCACAAAGCCCGAGGCAGGCACCAGCCGCCCCCGAGGGGCGAGGCTAACCTTCCCCACCGCGGGGGCCCACGGCCAATATGTTTCCTGGTCCCGGCCGCCTGTTTCCCTGCGGCCTGCCCGCCGGTGCTTGGGGGCAGCGAGGCCCTGTGGGAGCCAGAGGGGACGGCGGCCAGACTTCCTTCCCGAGAAAGTGCAGCCAGCGCCACGTCAGCAGGTCAGCCACGCGGCAGACTCTGCTGCCGTGATGGCGCAGTCTGGGCGGGGAGCCTGCCCCTCCAGCCCCCGCCCTCCTTCAGGGCCTCTGTACCCGGGTACCCGTGTCCCCCCAAGAAAAGGGCATCAGTGCCGGCGAGCCTGAGGGCGCTGTGGCTTTGTTTCCCTGCTGGGTGAGTCTCCTCGGCAGGGGCAGCAAAGCCTCTGGCAGGCCTGTGGGGTTAAGACAATGCTGACTTCTTGCTTCAGCCAGACTTGATAGAATTCCATAGTTCTAGAGTTCAGACTTGCTTCTGTTCTCCCAGCTCAGGCTATGCATTGAGATTACCGCTGACTCTTGTGTCCCCCACAAAAAAATCAGAGTTTTAGTGTCCAGGTCAGGCCCCTGAGCCTCTTGGGAAGGCGAGGGGGTTCTTCCCGCCCACTTCTTTCTGCGGAGACGGTGCTGCTGCTGATGGCGGCGTCCCCGGGCCGCCTTGTCACAAGGCGAGGCCGCCCGTGGGCGTGAGGGCTGCCCGGTGCAGGGGCCCCGAGGGTGCAGGGGCCCTGAGGGTGCAGGGGCCAGGGCGGCGGGAGCGTGTGGGGCCCGTGGCTGCATCTGATGTTTTCTAGGTGGTATTTGCAGAGGTGCCTTCAGCCGGCCTCCCATTAACCTAAAGGGGCTGAGCGTCTGCCACACGCCGGGTGGCGTCTGTGCCCAGGGGTCGTCTCCATGCATGAGAATGTTTAGCTTCTTTCCGATCCAGGTCATGGAAAGTTCCAACCTCGGGGGTTTAATGTCTGCAGCGCCAGGACCACCTCTGGATCTGCCCGGAGCGAGGCAGTGTCCCGCGAGGACGTAGACATAACGCCGCTGTTGGGAGGCGGAGCGTGCTCCGTGCGTCCCGCCTGAGGAGGCTCCTGGGCCAGCAGCCGCGTTGTGACGTTCCCGCTCACAGAACACGGAGGGCGGCGACCACAGGCTTGACGCCCGGTGTGGACTCAGAGCCAAAGGGCCCGGTGGCCTGGGGGCTATGTCCAAGGCCTTGGACTTTTAAATGTTGTGCCTTTCAGATTTTGGGCTGTGATATTGATGATTTCAGAAATATTTATGACTGTTGTGCTAGGCAGAAGTGTTGGCTTCCAAACTCTGATAAAACTGCTAAAGCCTGTTGCATTTATACGCTCTGACTATTTTCAGATTTATCCCTCCAGGAGCATATGTTCTGAAGTCGGAGTGAGAGTAAATAAACCCGGAGGCGAGTCACCACTCCAGCTGGCAGGTCCCTCCACAGAGGCCTCCGCTCAGGCCGGGCCTCGGTGGTCAGAGTCAGGCCAGCCCCCCCCCGGGCAGCAGGATGTCGCTTCTGTTTTTTGTTTTTTGTTGTTTTTCTCCTTTTCCTGACCCAGCAGAAGGGGCACGGCACCTGCACGCCACAAGGGGAAGCTCCCCGACAGTCTTTGGGGAGATGGCCGGGACACAGTTGGAGTCGGCACAGCTCCGAGTGCTGATAGGACGGAGCTCAGAGCCCGGGCCCCTTGCTCAGGCCCCCTGTTCGCCCGCACGAAAGCCTGTGGTCGCCTGGCTCAGAGCTGCCCCCCACTGGGTCTCTGCAACCAGAGGCCTGCTCGGTGTCCATATCCCAGGAGCATCCTCTGGGGCAGGCGGGACCCCAGAGGCTCAACCCAGCCACAGCACTTCCTAGAGGGTGAACTTGGTGTTGGAGGAGCAGACACCAGGGCTGGGTGCTGTTGTTGGGGACATGGGGACCATGGTGTCCACTTGTGTCAGGGTCGGGGGAGGACGGAGCTAAGCCACGTCTCTGAGCCGGCTCGGTAGCTTCAGGCAGCTCACGGTTTTCTGCCCAAACACCTTCGCTCCTCGCGTCGTGTCTTCCGGTCCCACAGAGTTCACGGCTGACCCCTGGGAGGTGCTGCGGTCCTGACTGCCAATCTGAGAGTTACCTGCCGGTCACACCTGGGACTGAGTGAGCGGCCAGGAGGGCCGGGGCGGGGCTTGCTTCCCCGGCACAGCCCTCCCCAGGGGTGCGTGCAGGGTGTGGGCCCTGGGTTCCCTGCCGAGGGGTTCTGTGAGGGTCAGTTATTAGGAGAAAGAGGGACCGCGGCACTTCTGTGTCCTGGGCCGGATACAACAATTCGGATCTTTGTGGCTTTATACTCCGATGTTTCAGTCGAGCTGTGGAGATCTGAAATGCTGCCTGGTATCAGAATAATCCAAATGCCAGATGAGTTACAGCCGTGCGACTGGCCAGTCCCCGGTCTGCCTGCGTGTCCCTGAGTGTGTGCGGGCAGAAGCTGCTGTTGGGTCTCATGTGCCCAACCTGGGCGCCTCTGGTGTCCAGTGTCGACATCGCCCCCTGCCCAGAGGTGGGAAGGATGTGTCCAGCAAGGATGTGTGTCATTGGCCCCCGGCAAGGTAGAGGGGTTTCTGTGCCGGCCTTTCCCTCGGAGCAGAGCGGTGGGAGGGCCCTTCGCCCCCATGGAGCCTGCCCGCCGTGAGTGCGGTGGCTGGCATGGCCAGCACCTGGGGAAACCGGATAGCGCCTGCCCGGGAGATTAAAATTTAATCGGGAGACGG